TTCTCCGTCTCTAGTGCATTGCACTGCGGACATACAATGATAGAATCCGGGTTTCGATACCCGTGGTGGGCAGAACACAGATAGCCGATTGTATAGCTTTGTGCTTAATTACAAACAAACAAACCGTCTCTAGTTAGTTAGATGAAGTATAATTGAATGAAGGTTAGTATTAGATAGCTCACCCTTAGCTCAGCGGTACGTCTGTGGGCTTATAACACTAACAATCTGGTTTAGAAACCCGCAGTGGACAGATAGTCTTTTGTGTAGCTTCCTGCTTAACAACAAACAAGATCCATACGATAAACGAACATATTAGTACTTTAAAATAACGAATAACGGTATAACGTAGCCAGAGTTTTCACATTAAAGTCGATTTTCGTTATGTTGACCCACCTTTGAAGTGTCGTCTACAGTACAGAATGTTTATACCTCATAATAACAAACATATTAGTGTAGCACAGATGTAATATATATATATATTGTTTGTATAAATATGTCTTCTTAAAATAAACACATTGTTCGATATTTTTACCAAATCAAATTCATTATTACCCTCGGCGGGACTCGAACCCGCAATCTTCGGTTTAGGAGACCGACGCCTTATCCATTAGGCCACGAGGGCTTATTTATTTTTTGTTGAAACTAAGTATATTATAATATAACATTTTTACAGTTCACGTATCTTTTACATGTTTATCTAAAGTTCTATACATACATTACTTATATATATACAGTTCTATAATATCGTTTATTTACTAACCTTTATTACTTATATCTTCCCCTAAAATAACACAAGTTATTTTGTTTAAACAATTTATAATGGAACACAGACACGTACGTTGATGTAACCCTAACGAAATGTTTGTATAGAGTATTTATAAAACTATTGGTACACGACAACATACTGTTACGTTTCTGGTCGTTTGTTCATTTTCCGTAAAAGTTCTTTCCGAAGAACTTCAGCGATACAAGTCCTTTCTTAAACAAAACTAGTTTATTCTTTCTCATTACAAACTTAATAATACACTTAATTTCCACAGTAACTTTAACTTAAACACACGCTATAATTCACAACGATTCACTCACTTTACTTACGGCTTGACTCGATTATCTGTCTCTGTTTAAACAAAATAACTTGTGTTATTCTAGGGGAAGATATAAGTAATAAAGGTTAGTAAATAAACGATATTATAGAACTGTACACATAAGTAATGTATGTATAGAACTTTAGATAAACATGTAAAGATACGTGAACTTTAAAAATGTTATATTATAATATAATTAGTTTCAACATTAATATTCCAACTTCTGTATCGAGAAATTATAAAGGAAAGGTATTATATAGTACAGATACAAAAATAAAAATAAGCCCTCGTGGCCTAATGGATAAGGCGTCGGTCTCCTAAACCGAAGACTGCGGGTTCGAGTCCCGCCGAGGGTAGTAATGAATTTCATTTAGTTAAAATCACGAGTATCGAGAAATGTGTTTATTGTAGGAAGACAAATACTTATCCATCTTTCTCTCAAACTCATTTAAATTTACTGTTTCCACAACATCGGAAGACAACAACCCTGTTAGAAAAATAAAACTGTCTTAGCTGAATATGACTCTTACCCTGCCAAAATTTATGTTTGTGTCCCCTTGTCCTACTATTCTCATTGTTAAGTATAAAAAAGATGATGCATCAACACTATCACTTCCCTTTACAATCTTAAACACCTCAATCAGATCCCCCCCCCCAGCTCTTCTTTTTTCAAGAGAAAACAATTTGAGAGATTTCAACCTCTCCTCGTATGACAACCCCTCCATCCCAGGCACCATTCTAGTAACCCTTTCCACCAATTCAATAGCTTTCCTAAGGTAAGGAGCCCAAGACTGAACACAATAATCCAAATGTTACCTAACATTTACGGTCCATTATAAATTGTTTAAACAAAATAACTTGTGTTATTCTAGGGGAAGATATAAGTAATAAAGGTTAGTAAATAAACGATACTATAGAACTGTACACATAAGTAATGTATGTATAGAACTTTAGATAAACATGTAAAGATACGTGTACTGTAAAAATGTTATATTATAATATAATTAGTTTCAACATTAATAATCCAAGTTCTGTATCGAGAAATTATAAAGTACAGATATAAAAATATAAAAACAAGCCCTCGTGGCCTAATGGATAAGGCGTCGGTCTCCTAAACCGAAGATTGCGGGTTCGACTCCCGCCGAGGGTAATAATGAATTTGATTTGGTAAAAATATCGAACAATGTGTTTATTTTAAGAAGACATATTTATACAAACAATATATATATATTACATCTGTGCTACACTAATATGTTTGTTATAATGAGGTATAAAAACCAGTTCAAAATGCGATGACGTATAAACATTCTATACTGTAGACGACACTTCAAAGGTGGGTCAACATAACGAAAATCGACTTTAATGTGAAAACTCTGGCTACGTTATACCGTTATTTACTATTTTAAAATACTAATATGTTCGTTTATCGTATGGAACTTGTTGTTGTTAAGCAGGAAGCTTCACAAAAGGCTATCTGTGATCTGTCCACTGCGGGGTTCTAAACCTGATTTTGAGCTTATCACACGTCAAACCATAGATTCTAACATGTACTCTATATAATATCATACTAACCCTCATTAAATTATATTTCACCTAATTGACGGGAACATTTAAGTAAGGACCAATTTAAATATATTTATTATTCCACAAGGGGGCGCTACTAACTATCCAATGGTTACTATTTTGAGTAAAATCTATTTAAGACTTTTATTCTCCAATCCCACACAAAGTCTTTATTTTTGTTAGGAGGTGTGTGACCTGGCACCACTCTCCTACTTATTGAGTCCTTACAGACTACAACGCTGAAATCAGGGATTCGATTCCCTGTGGTGGATACAGTAGATAGCCCAAAATGGCTTTGCTTCTTAGAAGATTTTGAATAAGTGGGTTTATTGCTTTTATTTAAAATGAACTTCCTATGGTTTCTCTAGGAAGAGGTAACAGTTAAGGTACTCTTTGTTTAGTGTATTACATGACAACGGGAGAGCTGAAATCCCAATATTTGCATTTTGGGGTACTACCTAATTGACGGGCACAGCCCACTATTCGATGGTAATATCGTTGCCTTTCTTTAGTTTGTCAGTTCAAAACAGGAGACGATTACGTGCATATAGTCCTTGTGTAGCTTTGTGTGAATATTCAAAGACAAAGATATCGCAAAACAACCAACCATTAATTAGTTTACTGATATAGAGAGTAACATATAACATGGATGATAGGGAAAAGGTGTAGACAACCAAGTTTTCTTTATGTAAAAACCATGAGATTTAATCCCAAAGAAGGAATAAGCTAAATACTGTATATTATAGTTGTTTATTTAGGCCTAGTCTGTTTCACTAATAATTACACCATTGTAAACTTGATACCAACACAAGTAAAATGTAATCTTTCAGTGCTTGTAAGAAGGAAATGTATTACTTTCTAAAATATAGTATAAAATATTAAAATAGCATCACATGTTTATATAAACATTAAAAATAGCCTTACATCGTTGTTATCCTTAACACTCCACCCAGAGAACACACCTAAGCCTAAAAGTTGCCATATTGTTGGTTACGACTTTTTTCTTAACTGTTTGGTATTACTTCTTTTTTCTATGTACGTATAAAATTTTATATATATCACTCATAGTACAGAATTGTCAACAATACAACAACGGTGTTTTCAGTTTAACGAAGCCTTTAAAATAACGTGTACGACACACTGAATCATTTTAATTTTCATGGGGATGCCATGTTTGAAACGAGACAAAACTTTGCACACGTGTTCAGGTACCAGTGATGGGTGTCGTAGCTTGGTTTGTTTCTTTGTTCTAACGCCCTTTGGGGATAATGAGGTAATGCACACGTGTTCAGGTACCAGTGATAGGTGTCCTAGCTTGGTTTGTTTCTTTGTTCTAACGCCCTTTGGAGATAATGAGGTAATGCACACGTGTTCAGGTACCAGTGATAGGTGTCCTAGCTTGGTTTGTTTTTTTGTTCTAACACCCTTTGGGGATAATGAGGTAATGCACACGTGTTCAGGTACCAGTGATGGGTGTCCTAGCTTGGTTTGTTTTTTTGTTCTAACGCCCTTTGGAGATAATGAAGTAATTTTATTAGTACATTCGGGATTCTTTTAATCAGGGGGGGGTGAGCTATAAATCCCAAAGCAGGGGGAGGGCATTTTATTCTGAAGTATAATGATGAACGTATTATACAAACTACAACACATCCTCGGACAGTCCTGTAAAACTCCTTTTGCATATATTCAATACCATCAACCCACCTGTACTGAAAATAGTTTATCATGTTGACAAGTACAGTCCTTATCTGGTCATTACTTTGTGTTTTCATACATACCATTTACCGTTTTAAATCACAATCACAGCAACTTAATACGTAAGAATGTTGTTACGATTAATTTAAACATTTCTATATTTGAATACAAAATGTGAAAGTTATTGTTTGTTGTTAAGTTACAGAATAGGCTGTCTGTGCTCTGCAAACTGTAGGTATCAAAACCCAATTTTTAGTGCAACAAGTCCTCAGACGTACAGCTGAGCCGCTGAGTGTTTATTTGAAGTAGCTCTTTCAAACTTCGTTAATAATTAACTGTATAAAAAACTTGTCATCTGTTGGATATTTTTCATCATGCTAAAAGTAATCTTCTGAGCAGGTTTCTATAAGATCACAGGCAAACATTTTATTTTTGTAAAATACTTTACAAAAACATAAAATGATTTGTTAAAGGTAACGTGAAATTCATACTTGCCTTGCAGCTACAGATAGAACATGTTACTAGTGTTTATTCAAGGCCATATTTAAAATTGATATATGTTTCAAATGCTTTTATAGGAAGAAAACAGATATTTTTTGTATGTTAATACTTGGAAATGTCTCACGTAAAAAAATTATTAATAAAACAACACCTGAATTTTGGGGGAGATATATTTTATCAGAAAGCACAGAAAGAACATTGTCATGGTAACAAACTCTACAGAAAGGCTCTACATTCTAGTAACCGCAGGGCTAACAATATATATACCGGAGAAGCTGAAAAAATCTGTTACACTAAAGAACTTTAAGTAAAAAGTCAAATGAAAATTATTTTCTAAATTTGATTAAATTTTTCACTAAAAAACAATTCTGTGACAATTTAAAAAAATATATATAACAATCATCACCTTGTTTTACCCACATCTCTGTATTAGTTATACCATAAAAATCTGACAAAAAGCACATTTAATCTATATATACACACACACATCACAAGTCATATACCAAGTTAAAATGCTTTCTAAAGACAACATATTAAAAGTTTTTCACTACACAACAATTACTAGCTGCGTCCAAAATGTTTCGGACAATGAAAGTAGTTAACACTTTATGGCACGTCAACTCTTAAGATACTCTTAAGTAGTAGAAGCAGCCATACCGAGAACTGGTTAAAGAAATGATCACACTCTCTGAAATTACAAAAAAAAATGTGAAAGAATAGCGAAGATTACGTCACGCACAATCATTCTGAAGAATTTGCTTCATCATTATTGTTAATTATATTATTTAGTCCCAAAGTGGAAAAAGTATACTCTTTTTTTTCTTTTCCACAAGAGTAAAAGCAAGATGGTACAGAGAGCTAAATTATTTGATAAAATCAAGTCAATTATTCCTATGAATAAGAGAAATGATAATACATAGAAAATTAGCATATTAAACTGTACATATTAAAGCGCACACTAAAAGAAGGACATTTCCAAGTTGTTATATCCATCACTTCAACCCGTCACTCCGTTCCTAGCATCATTTCTCCAAATTTTTTCCAGTGCGCATCTCGTTTAAAGGGCAGTAGAACCTGTCACAGAAAACATGTCATTCATTACAATTTTCAAATGTGTGCCTTAATAACATGTACTGAATTTGTGGAACTGAAATTCTGTAGCTGGTTAATCTTGAGGACGGTGTGAAAAATTTACAGCTTTATATTTTTAAACACAAATATGCTCACTTTCTTAAAATTCTACAAACTCTATTTATATCTGAGAATGATAATCCAAATGTAAAAATATTTTAATTCACTTTCATAGTTTATTCTCATTCTAAAAGAAGTCAAAACAACACAATGAAACAAACCCTTGGTCTGAACTGATAGAAACTTAAATACATGAAAAGAACCTAAATATTAACAGTTTCCAAATATACAATTTCAACCAACATTAAAAATACAGATCATACAACAATACAAAACTCCTTTTGGATTTTACTGCAATAAACTGGAAATATCAGTTAATTTGGATGAAATAAAATCATCCTAGTTTTGATTTTTACTACAATAAACTGGAAATATCAGTTAATTTGGATGAACTAAAAACATCCTAGTTAAACTCCTTTTGGATTTTCACAGGAATAAACTGGAAATGTCAGTTAATTTGGATGAACTAAAATCATCCTATGTATTACAGCTAAGAAACTCATATATGATAAAAAAACACCTAAAAGCTTCATATGAAACAAACAGACAAACAGTTTGTATACTCAATATTCCAAATGTATTAACCGATGAACCTGAATACAAGTATAAAACTTTATATTAGTTGTAGTTCTACCACAACTTTACATTGGTTGTAGTTCTACCACGACCTTACATTGGTTGTAGTTCTACCACAACTTTATATTAGCTGTAGTTCTACCACAACCTTACATTGGTTGTAGTTCTACCACAACCTTACATTGGTTGTAGTTCTACCACGCCCTTACATTAGCTGTAGTTCTACCACAACCTTACATTAGCTGTAGTTCTACCACGACCTTACATTAGCTGTAGTTCTACCACGACCTTACATTAGCTGTAGTTCTACCACGACCTTACATTAGCTGTAGTTCTACCACGACCTTACATTAGCTGTAGTTCTACCACGACCTTACATTGGTTGTAGTTCTACCACGACCTTACATTAGCTGTAGTTCTACCACGACCTTACATTGGTTGTAGTTCTACCACGACCTTACATTGGTTGTAGTTCTACCACGACCTTACATTGGTTGTAGTTCTACCACGACCTTACATTGGTTGTAGTTCTACCACGACCTTACATTGGTTGTAGTTCTACCACGACCTTACATTAGCTGTAACATTCCACAAAAATGTCTGACACGACCTACTTCCTACAAATCAGTCTTCACTTAATGAAACAGGGCACGGTGATAACAATATCCTTCCAACAAAACATGCACAAAATACAAGTCGTACACTTTTGTATTGTCAAAACGTACAAATAGTTAGTTTAAGCTATCACATAAATATAAAGTTTTTAAGGGTGTTTTTGCTTAATTAAAATATTCTTACAACTTAAAATTAGAGCTGCACATTTCTTGAAATTTATATCTTAAAAATAAAACAGAAACAGCTTTCAACTTCAGAAAAAATAATTTTTTTTGAATACAAATGTTTTGGTTTAGTCTTTAGTTGGATACAATACAAAATAGTGAGAACAACTAATATGACAAGACAACAGTAGTACTCAATGTTTTTGTATCCTGATGAAAATAAGTTAAAATACTGGTGTTAAAATTTTACTTTATATAAGATTTAAACTTTATAAACACAAACATCCTAAAGAATATATCGTATGTATTATACATTAAATTATAGTAATATATAAAACTGTATATTTCAGTAACAATATTATTAACAACATTATTATAACAATTATTTATTATTATTATTAACAATATTATTATAACAATTATTATTATTAACAATATTATTATAACAATTATTATTATTAACAATATTATTATAACAATTATTATTATTAACAATATTATTATAACAATTATTTATTATTATTATAAACAGAATTATTATAACAATTATTTATTATTATTATCAATATTATTATAACAATTATTTATTATTATTAACAGAATTATTATAACAATTATTTATTATTATTAACAGAATTATTATAACAATTATTTATTATTATTATCAATATTATTATAACAATTATTTATTATTATTAACAGAATTATTATAACAATTATTTATTATTATTATTAACAGATTATTATAACAATTATTTTATTATTATTAACAGAATTATTATAACAATTATTTATTATTATTATTAACAGAATTATTATAACAATTATTTATTATTATTAACAATATTATTATATAACAAAAACATAAATTACACTGTCACTGGAATATAATGCATGTCCATATTGAGAGCTTTAAAGATATATATATTTCACATTTCTTGTATAAAAAATACTTTTTGTACATTTTGTAATGTTTCTGTTGCGCATTCATAGCATAAAATAAAAAATTATAATGTAACTTACACTGCATAATAAGTCATAACCAGGATCCCAATTTATATACTTTAAAATAATTAAAATTATGTAGCCAACAATTTAAAATTATGCAGCTCTTAACCAATGTAAAAAAATTAATAAAACAATAAGACTTAACACCAATAATGTGGCCGTATATATATTACATAAAAAACAAATGCTGACTAATTGCATCATACTTGGGGGCCCTCATAAAAAAAAGCAAATTTTATAAATGTTCATACTTCATTGTGTATATATTCCTCACATTCGTAGCACCACACTGAAAGATCTGAGTAGCTCAATGTTAGCTGATGGTGACATTCTAGCCCATGTTGGATCATGTGCTGATTGACATAACGTCCACAATGTACCTAATACAAAAAAAAACGAATACATTTTAAATACGATACTATTCGACTCAAGGTTTAGCAAAAAAAACGTGAAGTAAATGACAGCAATTTTATAATAACTTCAACATCAGGTAGTTTTAGTGACTGACCACTCACTGACAGTGTGTGACTGAGCAATCACTGAGTATGGTTGACATTAGTGGGTGAATGACCACTCACTGAGCATGGTCAACATTAGTGGGTGAATGACCACTCACTGAGAATGGTTGACATTAGTGCGTGAATGATCACTCACTGAGCATGGTCGACATTAGTGCGTGAATGATCACTCACTGAGCATGGTCAACATTAGTGGGTGAATGATCACTCACTGAGCATGGTCACATTAGTGGGTGAATGATCTGATCACTCACTGAGCATGGTCGACATTAGTGGGTGACTGATCACTCACTGAGTATGGTCGACATTAGTGGGTGAATGACCACTCACTGAGAATGGTTGACATTAGTGGGTGAATGATCACTCACTGAGCATGGTCGACATTAGTGGGTGAATGATCACTCACTGAACATGGTCAACATTAGTGGGTGAATGATCACTCACTGAGAAAGATCGACATTAGTGGGTGAATGATCTGATCACTCACTGAGCATGGTCGACATTAGTGGGTGAATGATCTGATCACTCACTATTACCATTAGTCAGTGGTTTACAATAGCCTTCTCTTGTTAGCTAATGACTGATTTTATTTTCTAACTAATCTAACATTTTTTTAACTTGCTAACATTATACAAATTCATTATTCTTGCTTCTAATCTGCTACTGTATCCAAGAACTACAGATATGAAGAGTAGCAACTGAATCACAATGTTACGACCATGTTGGCAAGTTAAAAACGTTGACTAATATATCTTATAAACCGTTATAAAAAAACTGTTTCTTTAAACATGCTGTTGTTTCATGACATATTTACAATAAACTACAAATTAACCCTAAACATTTGAAGGTGGAATTTTTAATTTTTGATGAAAGCCACTATACAATAATGGTGATTAGTTTTCACTGACACTAATAATTTATCTAATTGTTTAAAACCTAAAGTAATTCTCCCGACCATTTAGATTATCCGCGTACTTCACAAAGATCTTTAATCATAAAATGTTACACCTTATTAGAGTAAAACATTTATATTATTCAAATAACCAGAAAATTCAAACACACCACATAATTTTTATATAATTTAAAAAATTGTGAATATAATAATTATAGATAAAATTTTAGTGAAGAATGATTTTGTTTCTAAACTACTGATAAATTGAAAAAAATACATAAATGTTTCATAATATATTAGATAAATATTCAATACAAAATTCACAATTCTCTTAAAGTACACTGCAGCAGACACAGGCTATTACTGTACACAAGAAATCTTGATATATTACACAATCATAAATTGTAGTGGAAGAACCAGGGTTATTTATGGTAGCATAATATGTCAAGGTTTTTTGTGTAGTGGAAGAACCAGGGTTATTTATGGTTGTGTAATATATCAAGGTTTCTTGTGTAGTGGAAGAACCAGGGTTATTTATGGTTGTGTAATATATCAAGGTTTCTTGTGTAGTGGAAGAACCAGGGTTATGTGTAGTAGTGTGATATATTAAGGTTTCTTGTGTAGTGGAAGAACCAGGGTTATGTGTAGTGGAATAATATATCAAGGTTTCTTGTGTAGTGGAAGAACCAGGGTTATTTATGGTAGTGTAATATATCAAGGTTTCTTGATGACTCACCTGATAACCAACAATATGACTCACCTGATAACCAACAATATGACTCACCTGATCACCAACAATATGACTCACCTGATAACAATGTAAACAAACCCAATTTTCTCTCGGATCCCCACATGTTTCACACGGAGTTTGAGGATTAAGGCCCTCAGGTGGCATAGGTTGTAACCTCTCCAAATGAGGACACCAATCTAATGGAACTACACAATACAGCATATTTGGAAGCTGGAAATAAAACAAAACTTAAGGGGTGGAAATAAAGTACCAAAATTGAAGCAAAGAAAAAATTATAACGGATAATTAAAATCTACAAGTACCCCCTTTCTTTTAATTTTCAATTCAATGAACTCAAGAATTTTATTTTACATCATCTTCAAATAACAAAATACAACATCACAATACAGATTACCTCAAGGACTTCTTGCAGTGCAAAATATTTATAAAACTCTGATTAAAAATAAAAGCCTACCAGATATTTATATTTCATTTTCATTAAAGCTTTTCATGCTAAAGAAACCAAAAGAATCAAAAAAACACTACTCACTGACATTTGAGGATTTACAGCATCTCCATCTTTGATTTGTTCACAAGTGACAGCTGCATTAATCATAAAGTAAAACTTCTAATATAGATTGATTAAAGTAATAAGATTTAGACAGCTATAACTTCTAATATGGATTAACTAAATAAGATTTAGACAGCTTAAACTTCTAATACAGATTAACTAAAATAATAAGATTTAGACAGCTAAAACTTCTAATACAGATTGACTAAAGTAATAAGATTTAGACAGCTAAAACTTCTAATATAGATTGATTAAAGTAATAAGATTTAGACAGATAAAACTTCTAATACAGAATAACTAAAGTAATAAGATTTAGACAGCTAAAACTCCTACTACAGATTAACTAAAGTAATAAGATTTAGACAGCTTAAACTTATAATACAGATTAACTAAAGTAATAAGATTTAGACAGCTAAAACTTCTAATACAGATTAACTAAAGTAATAAGATTTAGACAGCTTAAACTTCTAATATAGATTAACTAAATAAGATTTAGACAGCTAAAACTTCTAATATAGATTAACTAAAGTAATAAGATTTAGACAGCTAAAACTCCTACTACAGATTAACTAAAGTAATAAGATTTAGACAGCTAAACCTTCTAATACAGATTAACTAAAGTAATA